GCGCCGGGCGAGGTCGCCTTCAGCAGCCGGGCCTACGAGACGCTGCTCCTGCCGCGGAACGAGGCGACGCACTGCGCGCAGTGCCTCGCCAAGTTTGGCGACGAGAAGAAGCCGAAGCGCTGCGGCGGCTGCAAGGCCGCGCGCTACTGCGGCCTCGACTGCCAGCGCGCGGCCTGGCGCGGGCCCCACCGCGTCGAGTGCAAGTGCTTCGGGAAGCTGCGCCGGCTCCTCGACGCGCCGGACCGCGACGTCGAGGGCGAGTTCCTCGACTGCGCGCTCGCGGCGCGGACGATGCGGAAGATCCTGGACGACGAGCGGCGGGGCGACGCCCGGGGCACGGAGGTCGTCGGCAAGTACACGCCCGTCGCGCCGAGCGTCGTCGACGTCATGAACGCGTGCCGCGTCTGCGACGACGGCGCGGCGGACGCGGACCGCGCCAAGGACGCTGCGCGGTGCGCGGCGGCGGCCGCGCGCGCGGGCGCGGCCAAGGAGGACGGCCGCCTCGCGACGCTGCTCCGGAGCTCGGCGGCGACGCACTTCATGGTCACGGACCCGACGACGTCGGGCATCGCCGTGGGCTGCTTCGCGCTCGGCGCGGCCGTGCGGCACTCGTGCCTGCCGAGCTGCGCGGTCGCCTACGACTTCGTGGAGACGGGCGTCGGCGCGGCGGCGTCCCTCGAGCAGCGCTTCGTGGCCATGGTGCCGCTCAAAGCCGGCGACGAGCTCACGCGCGCCTGGGTCGACCCCATGAGCCCCACGTGGCTCCGGCACCACCGCCTCAAGGCCGTCTACGGCGGCGTGCTCAAGCCGACGACCGCGCGGCCGCGGGACCGGCCCTGCGACTGCGCCCGCTGCGCGGCGGCCTGGGCGGACCGCGACGCGCTCATCGAGGGCGACGCGGCGATGCGCGAGAAGATCACGGAGACGGACGAGGGCAAGGCCGCGCTCGAGACGATCGCGACGTTCCAGCGCGAGGCGTCCGCGGCGACGACCATCGAGGACGCGTACGCCTCGCTGACCAAGGCCATGGACGTGCTCAGCGCGCGCGTCGCGCCCTGCCACCCGGCGGTCCTGTCCATCGTCGAGATGCTCATGGCCAACGCGCTCGCGCGCGGCGAGAACGCCGAGGCCATCGGCCACGCGCGGACGCTCGCGGAGCGGCGCGCGCGGCTCTACGCGCCCCTGCCCCACCCGCGCGTCGTCCTGGACCACTTCATGCTCGCGGAGCTCATCCTCCAGGACGCGCGCGGCGACCCGGCCAAGGGCCTCGTCGCGCGGCCCGCGCTCGAGCGCGCGCGCGACCTCGCGCGGCTCGTCCACGGCGCGAAGCGGTCCAAGCTCGCGGCGCGCGCGACGTCCCAGATCGACCTCATCGACGGCGACATCCGGGCCGTCAACGCGCCGAAGCGCGGCAACCCCATGGGCAAGGGCGGCGTCATCCACCCGCCCATGCCCGAGCCCGAGGGCGGCTACCCGCGGTCCTACGCGGCGACGCGCGCCGCGGAGAAGCCCAAGCGCTCGCCGGACCTCCTCTCCAACGCGCCGGCCGCGCGGTCCACGGAGAAGTACTACGTCCCCGAGCCGCCGCTGCCGGGCGTGCTCCACATCGAGGAGTGCGACCTCGACTCCGCGTCGGACTACTCCATCGACGACTGAGCCTAAGCTGACGCTCCAAGCTTACAGCTGCGCCCGCGCGAAGTCGTCGGCGATCTGGCTCGCCTCCTCGGGCGGGGGCTCGCCCCGGTCCGAGTCCGCGCGCGCGAAGACGGACCGCGCGAGGGACGTCTGCTTGTCGAGCACGGGGCGGTAGGCCTCGGCGCCCGGCGGGCCGATGGGCGCGGCGCCCGGCGGCCGGTGGCCGATGGGCGCCATGACGACGAGGGACGCGGCCGCGCGGCGGACGTCCTGCGCGCGGTCGCGCCCGTTGAAGCACGCGACGCGGAAGTCGACGCGGTCGCCGGCCTCGAGGCCCCCCGGCACGTCGCCCGTCGCCGCCGCGTGGACGAAGACGTCGGGCGAGCCGTCGTCGGGCCGGATGAAGCCGTAGTCGCCCTGGAACCAGGTCACGGCGCCCCCGAGGCGGACCTCGCCCTCGGCGCGGAGCCCCGACGACCGGCGGCTCGACGCCGACGACGCCGACGACCGGCGGCGCACGGGCGCCGTCGACGCGGCCGACGACGCGGACGACGCCGACGACCGCCGCCGCCGGGGCAGCGCCTCGACGTCGACGGCGCGGGGCCGGCCGTCGCGCGCGTCGACGCGGAACGCGAGTGCGTCGCCCGCCCGGGCGTCGCGGGGGAGCGCGGACTCGTGGACGAAGACGTCGGCGAGCTGGGGGCCGTGGCGGCGGATGAAGCCGTAGGCGGCGCGCGGCGCGCGGTCGAGGACGCCCGTGGCCTTGCCGTCCGCGCGCGGCGCCTCCGGCGCGCCGGGCGCGCCGACGTCGCGCGCCTCGAGGCGGCCGACGCGGCCGTCCCAGGCGACGACGAACTCGACGGCGTCGCCGGCCTCGAGGGCGCCGTGGCGCCGCACGTTCGCGCGGTGCACGAAGAGGTCGTCGCCGCCGCCGTCGCGGCGGACGAAGCCGTACTGGTCGCCGAACCAGTCGACGACGCCCGTCTCGACCCGGGCCGCCGCCGCCGGCGCGCCCGCGCTCAGGCGCCGCAGGCCCGCGGCGGCCGCGGCGACGCGCGGGTCGCCGCGGATCAGGTCCGCGAGGTCGCGGTTCGGGCAGGAAAGCGTGTGGTCGAGCGGCCGGTTCGTCGCCGGCGACGTGTCGCGGGCCGCGAGCCAGGCCTCGGCGGCGCGCCGCTCGTAGGAGTAGCCGTCGGCGAGGACGACGGGGTCCCGCATGACCTCGTTCGAGATGCGGCAGACGTACTGCTCGGGCACCCGCGCGGCGGCGCCGGGCGACGCGGCGTCGTCGGACGCGCGCGACACGACCGCGGGCGACGTGGGCGAGAGGCCCTCCGGGGGGGAGGCGTCGATAGGCGCCGCCGGGGGCGCCGCCGGGGGGTCCGTCTCAGGGTCGGCCGCCGCCGGGGGCGCCGTCTCAGGGTCGGCCGCCTTTCGGGCGTCGGGGCGTTTCTTGCGAAAGAACATCGGCTTCGAGGCGCTCGGGGGTCGTCGTGGGGTGGCGCAAGGGTGTTAGGGGTCGTCGTCGTCGCCCCGCGCCCCGGCCGCGGGGACTCGCCTCGTCGATCTGTTGTCGATCTCGAGCCCTCAGGAGGTGCGATCGTAGCCCAAAACCAAGGAGAAGTCGGTGCGGCTTTCAAGAGGCCACAGCGCCCACGCCCGCCCAAGGCGGCGTGCCGTCGGGCTAGCTCGTCTAATGCTCTAGAGAGAGAGATTCCTCCCTGACGCATGCCCCCGTGGACGGCGTGGTGGACCTTTACCCCCCGGCCACCTCCGCCGCCCGCCGTCTGTGGGCGTCGGCGTGGTCCGCGGCGGCGGCGCAGGCCTGGCGGAAGTGGCCGCCGAGCGTGGCGCACATGTCGCCGGAGAGCGCGAAATCCCCGCACCACGCCGCCGCGAGGTCGTCGACGCCGTCGCACCCGGCGAGGGCGACGTCGTACCTCCGCCCGTCGACCTCCATGGTGAGCACGGACGTGCCGTCGTCGCCGTGGGCGAGGCCCGGCGTGCCCGCGGCCGCGTTGAACGCCGCGAAGTCGCGGCGCGACAGGACCTCGAACTGGGCCCAGTCCCGCAAGCCCGCGATCGCCACGGAGTGGGCGCTCGCGGGCCAGGAGTTGAGCCCCGCGCCCAGGGGGTCGTGGAAGCGCCGGTCGTCGACGCGCGAGAACGCGAAGGGGTGGAGGCAGAGGCCGACGAACGCGTCGTCCGTGCTCCACGAGTAGCCGCCGCCCGGCACCGCGGAGCCCCGGAAGCCGCCCTTGCCCCAGGCCGGCCGCGTCGTCTCCGCGGGCCGCGGCGCGCCGGCGTCGAGGGCCACGTGGTAGTCGCCCGCGGCGACGGCGCGCGCGAGGTCCGCGGACAAGACGAATCCCGAACCCGCCGGGTACGGCGGCCGGCCCTGGATGAAGAAGGACCAGGCCTACGGAAGGGGGTGACGTTCGGGGGGTGCCGACGACGCGGGACGCGGCGCGCGCGCGAATGGCCCCTCGAGGGCCGCGTCGGGCCCGGGGAACGCGCGGACGACGCCCGCGGCGAGCTCCGCGGCGACGACGTCGAGGAACGGGAAGACGTCGTCCTCGAAGCGCGCGTAGTGCGTCGGCGGCGCGGCGGGCGCCGCGACGCCGCCGAAGTCGCCGCGGACGCGGTCGCCGTGGAGCGCCGCGAAGTAGCGGAAGCTGTTGACCTGCGAAGGGGGGGGGTTCCCGCGGGACGCGGTCGGAGCGTCACCTGCTTGGCCGTGACGTTGTCCTGGCCGTCCCAGGAGTCGACGACGACGACGTCGCCGTAGCGCGCCGCCTCCGCCGCGACGGCCGGCGCGGCGCCGCCCGTTGCCGCGTCGACGCCGACGAAGAATTTCACGGCCGCGGACGCGCGCGCGAGCGCCGCGCCGTCGCGACACCACGTCGCGCGCGCGCGCTGCCGCCTACGCCGGGGCCGCGGTCGCGGACGACATCGACGGGCGTCCACCCACCGCGTCGCGTAGTGCGCCGCCGACGGGACGGCGACGAAGAGGCGCACGGCGGCGGCGGCGTCGTAGGCGCCGGGGCAGCCCGCCGTGACGACGAAGCGCCGGTCGCGCGACGCGGCGTCGCGCTCGTACAAGTCGTCGAGCGGCAGGGCATGACATGCGAGGAGCAGCGCGAGGGCCGTGGTTCGGCAAACAGGGGCTGCCATGCTTCGATGCATGCCTCCCCTAGTCGGAGCACGCCACGGCGCGCGTCGAGCTTCCCATAGTGCCGAGCAGCTTCAAGGTAAGACGTTGACGAAGTGCGCTAAAGCTCGAAGCTGTCGGAAGGTGACAAGGCCAGATCCTCCGGTCGCGCTCTCGCCGCGCGCCCCAGCGCGCACGACCCACATCCAGGACGATGGCGGCCGGGCGCCTCCCCGTGCTCTTCGAGGACGTGGCCATCGCGGCGACGCGCATCCGCGGCGGCGTGACGCGCACGGCGCTCACGCACTCGCACTGGCTGTCGCAGCTCTGCGGCTGCGAGGTGTTTTTGAAGCACGAGCAGACCATGTTCACGGGCTCCTTCAAGGAGCGGGGCGCGCGCAACGCCCTCCTCTCCCTGAGCGAGGAGGAGCGGGCGCGGGGCGTCGTCGCCGCGTCCGCCGGGAACCACGCGCTCGCGCTGTCGTGGCACGGGAAGCAGCTCGGCGTCCCCGTGTCCGTGCTCATGCCGACGGTGGCGCCGATGGCGAAGCGGTCCAAGTGCGCCACGTTCGGCGCGCACATCGTCGTCCACGGCGACACCATCGGCGACGCGAAGCTCCACGCGGAGACGACGGCGCCGTTCTGCGACATGACGTACGTCAACGGCTACGACGACGTGCCCATCATCGCGGGCGCGGGCACGCTGGGCCTCGAGCTCATCGAGCAGCTGCCCGAGGGCGACCACTTCGACTACGTCATGGTGCCCTGCGGCGGCGCGGGGCTCCTCGCCGGCGTGTCGCTCGCGATCAAGACGCTGCGGCCGCAGACGCGGGTCGTCGGCGTCGAGCCGCGGAACTGCGCGTCGTTCAGCCACGCGCTGGCCGTCGGCCACCCGGACCCCGTGGAGACGACGTCGACGCTGGCCGACGGCCTCGCCGTGCCCACGGTGGGGGCCAACGCGTTCGAGGTCGCGCGCGCGCACGCGGACGACGTCTGCATCGTCGACGAGGCGGACGTCGCGCTCGCCGTGCTGCGCCTCCTCGAGAACGAGAAGGTCACGATCGAGGGCGGCGGCGCGACGGGCCTCGCGGCCATCCTGCCCGGCGGGCCCTACCACGACCAGGTCCGGGGCGCGAAGGTCGCCGTGCCGCTCTGCGGCGGCAACATCGACGTGACGACGCTCGGCCGCGTCATCGACCGCGGCATGGCCGCGGACGGCCGCCTCGTGCGCTTCGTCGCCGAGGTCAGCGACCGCTCGGGGGGCATCGCCCAGTGCACGGAGATCCTCTCCAGGCACGGCGCGTCCGTGAAGGACGTCTTCCACGAGCGCGCCTGGCTCCAGTCCGCGGTCGACCGCGTCCAGATCAAGTTCATCCTCGAGTGCACGGGCGCCGACCACTCCCGGGCCGTGCGCGAGGCCATGATCGACGCCGGCGTCACCATCCTCGTCTGGGGCCGCGAGGTCTACACGCGCGGCGACCCCAACACGACCCAGCTCCTCGAGACGACGACGGGCGGGCCCGCGGAGCCCGCGCCCTTCGAGTGAGACCGGACGCTGGTAAGTCCGCCCAAGGCAGGCGCGTAGGCGTGGTGCGTCGCCTAGTGCGCTCGAGAGAACTATGTGCGAGCAGCGGGATCGTGGGAGGTGTCGAGGGTAAAAGGGTCGCTTGTCGGGCGAGAGTTCGCCGACCCCCGGCCAAGTCGATCAGGCACCAAGCTTGACAGCTCTCAG